TATTATATTATAAATTATCTTAAATGCCCTGGATTGAAAAGAAGGGAAATAGAGTGGGTTAGAAAGAGGACCCAGTGCTGACCTATGTCAAGTATTCTGAGATACCTACACTTCCAGCCGCTCAATCAGACAATCTGGAAAGAAACTGACAGCACGAACACCACTGACATCGATTAGCCGCCATTTCTCCAGCCAAACATAGGCGGGGTTACGGGACCCCATCCTGGAAGGCGTACAACATCAACAACACACAGACTCTTCGTGATCTCTTTCACGCCTTTTTGCCAAGTCATGTGCTGTCCACCTCGCGGTTTGCGCCATGCTGAAGGAGACACGGAGAACAGCACTCTTCTTGGTAAGCGGTGTTTCGACATGCATAACCGAGCCATCATAGTCGGTGGTGCTGGATTTTCTCCCTGGTTGAAGTACATGCAGCACAACCAAATACCCGTTTTCTAATCACCTCGTTACTAAAACGCCGACACCATCCAAAACCAGCCACACTTCTGAGGCATCGGTGTTCGGAAACCTGAAGGCGCATCACTTCATCTGTCCGCAGAAGCCATGCCTTGCACCCATACACCAACACAGCCTTTACTGTAGCCTGGTACACACGACCCTTAAGATCTAGTGAGATGCCTTTTTGACGCCACAGGTGACTCAAATTAGCAAACTTTATTTCGGGCATTTGAGATTCTTGCACTGACTTCATCAGACACACTTCCGTCAGAGCTAATACAACTACCGAGATTTGTAAAGTTTTTCACAATCTCCAGTGATTCGTCTTGAATTGTAAAGGATATGTTCGCAGATGGCAAGCGCTGGAGCGTAACCTTGCAATTGAAATGTGCAAGGCGCATGCCAATATATGGGGAACGGATTATGTTTACAAACTTCTGGGGCATACTCTGTTGAGCGAGTGCAGTTAACAGCACTGATCGATCGACAAAATCAAACGCATCCTTGAAGTCAAGGAATACTAGGATTGTGGGTCGTCTGTACATGTGGTGTTTCTCTCACACCTGAAGGAGTGTGTTGATATGGTCAACACAGCCTCTACCCGGTCGAAATCTTGCTTGATTCTCACGAGTCAAGACTTCGCGTGCCACCGTAAGACGACGAAGAATCAGTGACTCCAGAAGCCTTGTCACAACAGGCGTCAAACTAATACCCCTGTGGTTACTACGTTCATTAGAAGTACGTTTTTTGAAAATGGGCATTACTATCGATTCACCCCAGTTGTCTGGGACGGTCTCCTTCTCCCAGATACACCCAAATAGGCTAGACAAGCACTGGCTGAGGAATCCACCACCATCCTTGAAAACAGCAGACGGAAAGTCGTTAAGGCGAGCAACACGATGGTGTTTGAGTAGAGAAATACATTTGGACACTTCTGAGACTGAAGCCGACTCCATATTTAGGGTCCATCTTTCTCTCGAAGGCCAGAATTCTGGATTGGAGGTAGCAGGTGGCCAGCTGAGTTGCTGTTCGAAGTACTGTGCCCAGCAGTCCAAACTTTCTGCTTTGCTGCACATCAGGGAGCGATTCTGGTCTCTGCTTATTTCGCTGACATGAGGTTTCCGAGGACCAGTCGGACGAATCAAGTGGAACAGCATTCTTGGCATCCTCCATTTCTTCAGCCTTTCGGGTCCGCCAAGCTCCTCGGTCTGCGCGGACACTCAGATTCACCTGGCGTCGGATGATGTGCATCACCAGAGGTACGCAGCTGGAACCTGGAAGAGAGAGGGGGCAGTCAGTTCGATCACGCTACTTGCATCCTGCGTACTTGTTTCTGACAGGTAATATATATCGATGCAGATGGAATCCAGTGTGCGAACATCAAAGGTAAACAGGCCCTCGGAGTTTGAAAACAGACTGCGATGTGCTAAGGGTTGTGACTGAACTCGGACGTATAGAGGCCGCAGCCGGGTGTGATGCAGGGCGAACAAAACTGTCAGTCCTAGAGCCGGGACCTGCGGAGAAAGTATTCAAATTTGGGCAGAGGAGGGTGGAAAACAGAAAACGTGAAAGTGTAAGAAGGAAGGCGTCAGCAGTAGCATGTTTTCGCTCACCCGCCCTGCTGTATGCAGCAGGTAAGATGACCCGGCTGATGGCACCACGTGACAGCGGATGTGACATGAGAGTATTGTTATCTGTAAATATCTTGGTTGTACGGGGCCTAGGATACTGCCAGGGTGCCCACACCTACACAGGAGGACGATTAGGGTCCTCAACAAAAGCCTTTGGCTCAAAAGCCTAACCACAAAGCAGCGGTGTTGGGCTGGAAATGCAAGTATATTACCATTTTTACGGAACACGTCGCCACACATGTTCCAACCCCCAACCTGGAGGGCCAGGAGACTGTGTTCGTCAGACCTCTAACCATTGACCAATCTGGTATGAGAGACTCTCTGAGTGTCGCGCGGACACCCCCCAGTATAGCTCAATGGGTCTCCGAGGTACACAAACCGTCACACCACGATCCAGTTTCTTCGTCAAATCTTGAGTCTTTTTTGTCCATCTTTACCTTGTTGACCTTAAGCACAAAGTCAGGTCATTACTCTTTGGCGCCATGCTACTGTTCGTGGGTCTGGTAGTGTAGTTTGACTGGTGTGATTGTTTTTTCCTGATTCCTCGGAATGTGTCCCGAGGAGACTGCGGAAATGCCCTCACCTGGAAACCTGGCAAGACTACATACTATGCCAGGAAATTGATAGAAAGGCTCCCAGACGTTCTTATCTTCAGGTGTGAACACTCATTAAACTCGCCTTGATCTAGTGGGTGAAAATGTGACCGGCTGACGAACTTGTGATTATATTGCTACTTGCTTTAGTCTAACTTGTTCTTTCGGGAGAATAAGTCGGTATCAGATGGAAGTTTTTTGGGGGTTCCAACAAACGGTACCAATCAACATCAGTTGCTTGATCGGTTATCTCTCTTGCAAAAGTTAGTCATCTACATCGAACTCCTAGTGAGTACGAAACGACCACCTACACAAAGGCTAGTTATGTTAAAGATTGCTTGTTGATGATGGTGAACTTTGGCTTAAAGGCTGCGACACTTGGTATGCTATTGAACGTGCCTCAACCTAGCCATCGCTGTTTTTCGTGCTTGATTCAGAATATCGCAAGCAGAAAGTTGGTCAATCTTTCACCTAACAAGGATACGAAAGAGATTATGAAAGGTACGGGTGCCGTCGATATGACTCACTTTTCAGGATGAGGGCCGCATTGTTCACTTGTTCATAGTTGCAGGCGCCGCAAGATAGCACTACCAAGCGATTTCGATGGTGGTCCTGTTGTCAGTTTCTGTCCAGATTGTCTGAATGAGTGTCTGGAGGTGTAGGCACCGGAATGGTTTTGATAAACTATCTCTACTTCTCCTCCCCATCCACATGTACGCTTTTCCTCCTAATGAAGCTTTCGAACGAATCATGATTGTACGTTAGGGGAGCATCAATGTTGAGCACTGATGTTGGACGATCGGTGATGATGATGTGTTCATTCTATGCGTGTGTATGTATATCTTGCGAAGGGTTAATTAACTGATTTGTTGTTCATTTCTCACTATCGAGTGTTTCTGTTGTCCATATTGGAAGTTTTTTTCATTCGAGAGTTGACAATTTTAACCTTAATCATGCTAACTATGTTTACTTCTTTATTTGTACCCTGGAGGACCGAGAACGGTTAAGAACAGAGTGTAATGAATTGGAGGCTATCGTGGCCGCCTTGCAGCGGCAGCTGGAAGAACAAGTTGGCGGGCTTAGCCCAGACACGACGGCAGAACTACTGAGAGCCGCAGGTACTGAACCGACGGACGCAGATGATGATGACCGGGAGTTACCAGAAGCCCGTGTCTTAATCGCAACGAAATGCCCCGTCACCAACGACTCTTTTGAGACGAAGGCTGGTGAAGGCAGTGGTTCACCAACGGTAACAATACCGAGCCCAGGTCTCCTCAAATCAAATGAAGAATTTGACTACCGTACCATGCACCGTTTGCAGTCAGAATTCTTCCCATCTGTGGTATGTGCTTTGATCACAATAACATGTATGATAATTCAACCGTGACTCAAAACAGTGTTTCAGATGACCGGGAGTTACCAGAAGCCCGTGTCTTAATCGCAACGAAATGCCCCGTCACCAACGACTCTTTTGAGACGAAGGCTGGTGAAGGCAGTGGTTCACCAACGGTAACAATACCGAGCCCAGGTCTCCCCAAACCAACTGAAGAATTTGACCACCGTGCCATGCACCGTTTGCAGTCAGAATTCTTCCCATCTGTGGTATGTGCTTTGATCACAATAACATGTATGATAATTCAACCGTGACTCAAAAACAGTGTTTCAGGAGTGCATTTGCTTAAACACGTATAACAGAGGAGTGTGGCAGTGTTTTTCGAGGTAGAACTTGTCAGCAAGCCCTCTATCGGATTCTTTAAGACCTTTGTGCGTCGGTTTTGGTAACATCAAGTGAATGGATTATTTCATCGTGTATTTGATGCCAATCTATGCTGGAAAGCCGGGGATTAGTATACGGCTGCTCTATCCCTATTGGGGATCACCAGCGATGTGTATTACGAGTTTCAAACACATGACCTCCCGGCGAGGAGTTTATGCGCCAGACCGTTAGGTCACGGGCGGCTGGTCACCAGTGTGATTGATTCGCACTTAGAGTAAAGCGCCACTCATCCTTCGGTCACATCCACGTCAAATGCTCACGTGTGGGTTAGCTCCTCGCATGACTACCTCGTATGAGGAAGATTCATCGTGTCAATCATTCTGAAGGGTCTATTTATTTTGAATTATTGTCCTATAACAGTAACTCCCCGTCCTAACTTTGTTTATACCGCTTTAGCTTCATTTGCAGAAAGTGTAATCGGGGCAGAACCAATTTCCCGCATTGTCCATTAGTTGGTCCCCATCCAACTATGGACCAGACAGCACAATTACTTGGGAGTAGTGAAGACTGAGGTACCAAAAAACCAAGACATCACTGTACAATCCCACAGCATTACCTCATAGCCAGTGAACACTACCCGAGCGTCGGTCATTAACTACCAATTTCTATTGAGTGCCTAGCCCACACAGAACAAAACAAGACAGCGATTACTGAAACATCCACGTGCACAGCGCAAAGCTAGAAAACGTCGTTTAACTGCTGGGTAGACGTAGTTTCGCTCTCTATTCACATCGAATGCCATTGTGCGTCCACTTTGACTCACAAGAGACATGAGTTTGTACAGTTGAGCACTTTGCATTGTTAGTGGTAAAGTGGCCCGGCTAACTCTCACCCCAATAATAAAATACTCCAAATTTCGGCATGAAGATCGGCACAATTGGACGGGTTATAAAGGTTCGACCATGGCTTGGGACAGATCAATCCATTTGCTGAGGTGTTGTCACGTTCGCCCGTTCACCCATGATGAGTCGGGCACTCCAGCCTGTGGCGGCAATACTCCGCATCCCATGTCAGACGTCCAGTGTTCAATTTCCGGCACGGCGAAGGATATGCGTGCACTGACGATGACATCCAACAAGAGCGAAACTTAGGTCCGGTGCTTCCTTTCTGTGGTGTGCGCTCTCCAGAATGATTACGTCCTGACAGGAAGGGAACTGTTCACACGAGAGTGGTCTCACGATCGTTGGTCTCTGAAAATTAGGGTATTATTGTTTGGTACTCCATCTGAACTACCTGCTTGAGGGTTTGAAATTAGTACAAGTAGGTAGTACGCTTGTGCTATTCCTCTGCGCGTTTTTGCGGGTACTGCTTGGAGTTTTTATCGGGCCTCATTGTCACACGCATGCAATGACTACCAAAGATTTAAGGTAATATTTATCTTGTACGTATTTGAAATGGTTTGGTACCTGTTGCTTCTGACAGCCATCAACAACCACGAACTTGCGGACCCGAGTAGACTAAACAGCGCCTTCTGCCGCTAAGCGAATTGTCATCGATGGTGAATAGCTTTCATAAACTTAGACGTCAGTAACCTATGCACACTCGTATGTCACCTCAGTTTCATGTGGTTACGGCTGACCGCGTGGGTAGTAGATCCGTAATTAGTACGGCGTTTCGCACCTTGTGTTCATTTATGTAAATAAACAAGTCACTTAATGACGGAAATCTGAGAAGCAGCTTTTTCATTTGTTTGGGATTAGTAGCGGCGAGCACCACAGGAATCTCAGAAGAGATTTTCAACCTTCAGGTTGGTACTTGAAGTCCGTTTGTTGGTAATGTTTTGGAATCTTGGTAGCTCGGGTGTATTAGTTGGTAATTGATCAGGTGGCTGTTGATCTGTTCGCCGAGCTTGGCAATTGATTTGCAAACGTTTCGTCACCATTCGAGGAGACATCTTCAGTGCGCTGTTGGTTGAGTAGTTCCTCTCTTCGTGCCTGCGTTTATATAGTCTACAAAGAGCAGCCTTTGCGCTGTAACCTGGATTCTGATTGGCCCGTTCTTGATCTGTATTGCGTCGTGGTCGGCTTATCTGTTGGTTTGTGGCGTGCCTCCTATTTTTAGTAGCCTGCTGTTCTATTGATTTCTTCTTTGAGTTCTTGTCCGGCCTCCGGTTCTGTGGTTCTGGATTTCCTTTGTCCTCAGAGGCTGGTAGGCAGGATTAATCTCAATGTGCCTGTTTATTGCTCCATCAGTGGAGTACCACGCCTCCATGAACTCGCGTTCTTTGTTATTGCCTGACCCAGTATTCTGACGTTATTCCAATCGAAATGGTGTCCTTCCCCATTTTCGTGTGCAGAGATGAGAGAGAGTTGGTCATGTCTCTTGGTGACGAGCTTGTGTTCGGTGATTCTGGTTGACAGTTTCCTCCCTGTTTGTCCCACGTAGTGTTTTTCACAATCATTGCATTGAATTTTGTAGATTACATTTGTCTTTTCCATTGCATTAAGTGTCCCCTTTGGTTTTGATAGTACTCTTCGCAGCGTGTCAGTCGGTCTGTGGGCCACTTTTATGGCATGCTGTTGTAATATCCTGGCGGTCATCTCCGAAATGTTTTTGATATATGGTAATGTGATTGTTTTGCTTGTGTTTCTGGTTGTCGCGTTGGTTGAATTGCATTTTCTCAGAGATCTCCAGACGAAATTCCTTGGGTAACCGTTCCTTTGAAACATTCTGTATAGGCGTTTCTCTTCTTTTACTTTAGATTCTACTGTGTTGCAGTGTGTTTCAATTCGCTTGAATAGTGTCCGGATGCAGCTCTCTTTGTGGCAGTTTGGGTGGTTGCTGTGGTAGCTCAGAATTTGATCCGTGTGCGTAGCTTTTCTGTAGACTTCCGTTTGCATTTGTCCGTTCGGCAACCTTGTGACGAGGACATCTAAAACCGCCAGTTTGTTGTTGTTTTCTTCTTCCATCGTGAACTTGATGTCATCGGAGACACTGTTTATCAATTGGATTGCTCGTTGTAGTTCTCTCTTCTTGATGATGACAAAAGTGTCGTCTACATAACGTACCCAAAGCTTCGGGTTGATGTCCGGCAACACGGTCCTCTCCAGTTTTTGCATTGCGATCTCGGCGATGAACCCTGAAATTGGGGAACCCATTGGTGCTCCTTTCAATTGTTCGTAGTATTCACCGTTGAATTCGAAGTACGTGGTCAAACAGAGGCTGAGCAATTCACATATGTCTTCCTTCCTTAGAGGTCCACTGGGAGGTCCATGACTGTCCAGTAGTTCAGCGACTGTTGTCTTTGCCGAGTGAAGGTCCACTGATGTGAACAGTGAGCTGACATCAAATGAGACCATTGTTTCGTCCTCTTCTATTGTCACATTCTTTAGTTTATCCAAGAACTGTTGTGCGTTTTTGATTGAGTGTTGCGATTCATTGATGAGATACTTGACCTTTCTCCATAGTTCCTTTGCAAGGTTGTAGGTTGGTGTGCCTGGGAGTGACACAATTGGCCTTAGTGGTGTGGTCTCCTTGTGTACTTTCGGGAGTCCGTAGAAGCGTGGGGTATTGGATTCTCTGGCTCTCATTCGCCAATATTCTTCGGTTGTGATCTTTTGGAGGTCCTTCAGTCGCTTCAGGCTCTTGTTGATTTTGTTCGCAAGTTTTTTAGTTTGATCATCCTCCAGACGGCGATACGTGGTAGTGTCGTTGAGCAGAGCTTTTGCTTTGTCTACGTAGTCCGATTTGTCCATGATAACGGTCATCCGTCCTTTGTCCGCAGGTAGAATGATGATGGTTTCATCTTTCTTCAAATTTTCTAATGCTTCCCTTTCCTTGTTTGAGAGAAGGTTGAGAGTTTTGTTTCGTGTGATGGCCGGTACCACAGTTTGACGGAGTTGTTGTTGAGCATTCTCATCCAGTTCGGCGGATTTCATAGCTGCCTCTAGGCTGGCCAAGAACTCTAGATTGGTGGCATCTTTGAAATTGAAGTTTAGTCCTTTAACAAGAACATCCTGTTCTTGAGCAGTCAGTCGTTTGCTAGAGAGGTTCTTGATCCACGTCTCGTTGTTGGTGGTGATGGTACCATTTTTGTTGTTTCTGATCAGTCTTGAAAACTTGGTTTCTAGAATAATTCGCTTCTTTTCCGCAGCGGACATAACTCTTCGTTCGATGGCTATACTGAGTTCTTGTAGTAGAGCTGGTCCTATCGTTCTCAAACACGTGTCCCTTTCTTCTGTGGCGATCCGCGCATACTTCCTAATGCGGTTATGTGCATCCGTTATCATGAGTCTAACCATCCGTCTACCGTTGCTTCTTGCTAGCGCCCAGGCCTGGGGGTGATTGATCGGAGGTCTATAGGTTACGCTACGTGGTAGAATGTGACTTCGCAAGCACTCGTGGAGAAAACGTAGCTGTTGTCGCGTGGAGGCTTGTCGGCAGGCGAAAGTCTCCCATCGACGAGCTGTTTTGAGCGTGGAACGCCCGAAGTTGTTGGTAATGTTTTGGAATATTGGTAGCTCGGGTGTATTGGTTGGTAATTGATCAGGTGGCTGTTGATCTGTTCGCCGAGCTTGGCAATTGATTTGCAAACGTTTCGTCACCATTCGAGGAGACATCTTCAGTGCGCTGTTGGTTGGGTAGTTCCTCTCTTCGTGCCTGCGTTTATATAGTCTACAGAGAGCAGTCTTTGCGCTGTAACCTGGATTCTGATTGGCCCGTTCTTGATCTGTATTGCGTCGTGGTCGGCTTATCTGTTGGTTTGTGGCGCGCCTCCTATTTTTAGTAGCATGCTGTTCTATTGATTTCTTCTTTGAGTCCTTGTCCGGCCTCGGGTTCTGTGGTTCTGGATTTCCTTTGTCCTCAGAGGCTGGTAGGCAGGATCAATGTCAATGTGCCTGTTTATTGCCCCACCAGTGGAGTACCACGCCTCCATGAACTCGCGTTCTTTCTTTGTTCTTGCTTGGCCCAGTATTCTGACGTTATTCCAATCGAAATGGTGTCCTTCTCCATCTTCGTGTGCAGAGATGAGAGAGAGTTGGTCATGTCTCTTGGTGGCGAGCTTATGTTCGGTGATTCTGGTTGACAGTTTCCTCCCTGTTTGTCCCACGTAGTGTTTTTCACAATCATTGCATTGAATTTTGTAGATTACATTTGTCTTTTCCATTGCATTAAGTGTCCCCTTTGGTTTTGATAGTACTCTTCGCAGCGTGTCAGTCGGTCTGTGGGCCACTTTTATGGCATGCTGTTGTAATATCCTGGCGGTCATCTCCGAAATGTTTTTGATATACGGTAATGTGATTGTTTTGCTTGTGTTTCTGGTTGTCGCGTTGGTTGAATTGCATTTTCTCAGAGATCTCCAGACGAAATTCCTTGGGTAACCGTTCCTTTGAAAGATTCTGTATAGTCTCTTATCTTATTTTACTTTAGATTCTACTGTGTTGCAGTGTGTTTCAGTTCGCTTGATAGTCCGTTTTTATGACCACGAGCGTAGTTGCAGTTGCGGTTCGCTTGATAGTCCGTTTTTATGACCACGAGCGTAGTTAATTTGCAGTTGCGGTCACTCTTCCTCCACTGACAACGTTCCCACCACGTGTGAGCCTGCCTGTTCTCCGACTATCGCAAGAGCGCGTGTTCGACGATACCTCCCCTACACTCATCGTTGGTCATGGTGCTTATAGACCAATAGGCAAATCGTTTACTATTTGCTAAAATACTTCGAATCTATACTAATAAGTTTTGGGACCAGGCGGTCGGATCTAACTTAAAGAGCCGTTCACAGTTCCGGAAGCTAATACGATTGTGCGCCTAATTTATCATTAGTTCGAAAATTATCCGGACCACTTGAACAGTGACAAGTGTGCGTGTGTGATCCGCAGTGCAACTGGCGACCTGAATAGCTCCAGTGAAAACACCCATTCCCGTTCGAATGAGTTTACCCGTACAAACTCAGTGTCACCGTTCGACCCAGCGCGCATGCATACTGTCCACCCTCATGGACACAGTCGTCATCATTATCACCATCGTCATTATCATCGATCACCCAACGTCAGTGCCCAGCGCTGATGTTTCGTTACAATAAAACCATGATTTATTTGAAATCCCTACTATCAAGGAAAGAATGAAAGTTGATGAGAAAGGTACCTAGTGTTAGCACACCACAATCATTCCGAGATGCCTACACCTTTAAACCCGTCTGTAAGAGACTGGACTCTACAGCAGTGTGGCGGTTTATGTTCCTCCTGATCCATTGAGCCATATTGAGGGGTGCCCGCGCAACACTCACAGAGTCTCACACCAGACTGGTCAATGGTTAGAGGCCTGACCAACACAGTCTCTTGGCTGTCCACATTTAGGCGTGAAAAATATGTGCGATGCGACTCGCCTTCCAAGACGAGGTCCTTGTGATCCCCTTCTGTGTATGGTTGCAGACACTGTAAGATGTGGCTGCCAAGCAAGGCTGACCACGTTATTTTTATCAGTTTCTGTTCAGGTTGTCTGAATCAGTGTCTGTGGGTGTAGGCACCTCGAAGGGACAGACTGGCACTGTGTATCCTCCCCATCCGCTCGTGTTCTTATTTTGGAAGAGGATTTTCAAATAACTGATTATATGACAACAAGAATCACGGTCTAACACTGATGATGTGCTGTGGATGATGATAATGAGATAACAATTGAGATGAGTCATGTGCCGTGTTCTCCTCTAAAAGCACAACCGTTACTAGAGCACTATTGAGGGTGATGTTTGCTTTGTTTAGCGTGTTTTTTCGTATTCGTTGTGGATCAAGATGCGTTTGGTTTGTCTAATTTCCAATCCGAACCAATTCCTGTCGCTATCTTTCAGAGTAGCTTGCGCTAGAGGGTGAGCTACGCAACAGCAGTGTTATCCCTACGGCGGTCTGCCTTCGAATTAGTTTCGCATGGTTTCTTGAAGCTTACGCGTCGGGGTAGCCGACCGAGTTCCTAGTTGTGACATCTGCGGTCTGCCTTCGAATTAGTTTCGCATGGTTTCTTGAAGCTTACGCGTCGGGGTAGCCGACCGAGTTCCTAGTTTAGTGTGACATCTGAGTGCTCTTAGGGTGTACCTTTTATTTTTTTAAATCTGTTAACCCTGCGTTTCAAGTGTTTGCCTCCGTATTGTAGCCAGTATGTTTTTTTACGATGATAGAAGGAAACAGACGTGTTCAAAGGCGAAATGGCTCTTTCTAAAAGAACTTTTTGGTTCAGGCAATCTTGTTTTGGAAGATTGTTCCTGGTATCTGACATACTCTTCATGATTCGCTATTTCACATTCCTTAGAGTTGTTTGCATAGGTATCCTCAAATTTCTTCAGCTCCGGAACGTGACACTCCACTTCATAATGTATCAACGGGACGCCATGTGGTAACCTGTTCAATGGAGATGTTTTAATCGAAATGGACAATCTTAGGAATAGTTTGCATTATTCGATAGTCTGTGAAGCCTCACCTAACTGTGAGATTTACGGTGGTTAGATTTATTACTGATCACCACCACAGGCTGAGGTTAGAGCGCGAATTTACTGACCGGAATGTCCCTGATTCGAATCCGACCTCTGCATCTCGACTTCCCCTGTCTAGGCCTGGGCAACCTGGAAGTATCCCAGCCTTCTTGCTTCTTTCGAGTGGCATGGCAGCTAGACACCCGAAGGGTGCTGCAGCTGAACGGTTACTGACCACCAGAGGCGCACTACTGGTGGTCAGTTTCGTCAAGCTTGTCACCTGAACATCTAGTCCTGCTAAACGTAGAGGGCGTCATATTGACCATATTCGTAATAATACTAAAAATAATAATGCTAATAAAGTATTAAAAACTCTAGTCAATGCTGAGCGCTTCCCTTTTGTCTTCTCTGGTCCCTGTTATGATTATTAGGGCTAAAACCGTAGATTTACCGGTTGCGTTTTAACGCTCTGGATTCTGACTTGGACAGCTAGCGAGGACAGTCTATGCTGAAGAAGCTGAGGAGTACCGTAGAGTTGTTTTATTCGTGTTCGAAATCATCAGCCATACACATCTCACAAATCTATGGAGATTCAAATCTGCAACTTTCCTATTAGGAACATCCTACCCACAGCACTCCTTTGTGTAAATGTTTGGAAGCTGTGTTGGTCAGATCAATGGAACCAGTTCGTGTTCGCTACCACTATCATCAGAACACTAATTACACTTGATCAGTCCTGTTCCCACATTTGTTTTGCTCTCAGATTCCGGGAACTTACTCTTCAGAAGCGGTTGATATAATCCCCTCGTCTCAAGCCGAAGAAGACTTGGACCAGCAAGCTGTGATGGAGCCAGTTTCAGAACAAAACATGATCAGGGCTTTACCTTCCAGTTTTCAGTCTTCCCTGCCCGTCTCTCGGGTGGAAGCCAGCCAGCCGCCAAGTTCTTACGCGACTTCCGCCATGTGCGAATTCACCCCACTCGTATCCACCTCGTCTCAAAGTTTGGTAGGTAGACTGGCGAATTCCGCTTATCTGAGCGAATGCCCAGAAACCAACTTGGAGTCGCAAGCGAACACCGTGAATCCATTGGTTGCGACCGAGTCTACTAGGCAGCGACAACAAGGGCCAAGCAAAACTCCACCCTCCGCTTTGGTGATAACCGGTTCCAGCCTGTCTGGACCTGATATGGTAGGTTTGTTCATCTCCTTTTGTGGCACTACTGTGAACCACCATGGTTCTCATGATTCTGTTGCTATATGCCCAGAAGGTTGCAAAAGAGGAGGAGGGAAGTTGGCAAATTTGTTATGGTTGCAGTTATAAATAATAGTCACATCACTTAGCCAGACAGGTCAGGCCAGATAACTGGGGATTTAAAAAATTGCAACAAAAGCTTCACGACAGAACTGAGCAACCGTGAAATCCTTGTACATGAACAATATCGTGACGTACCACACCAACTTAACAGTCTTCACTGTCCCAATATGTGGATTCTCACTACGCGAACTCTACATGTAGACCCAGTCTAAATCAAGCGGATAGACACGTTTCACACAAGCGGCCTAAATGATCGTCTCGTTTTATCTACTGTTTACTCTTTTTTCTCTGGACAGTTTGTCTCTAATTTTTGAATTTTTATTAGAATCAACCAACCGGTGTTAGTTTGAAACGCGACGTCCCTAACGCTTTACCCTGGGCGAGTGCTTATCAATCCATTGTTCGATGGCACGATGGACTCGGTGAGAACCCGTTCTACCCTCACTTGGGCGTTCAACCTAAATACCTAATAGGCCATCTGACGGAGCTGAACGTTCTAGGCCAAGAGTGCACGTCATCATAAGAACACGACACGAATTACCACGCGCCCAATTGAATTTTCCAACTCATCAACATAAACACGAAGCATCGCAAAGGAACTACTTTTTAGGAACAGTTCCGGCTGTTCGAACTGCCCGATCTCTAGTTTATGGGGCCCGTAACCATGTTCACTGATATCACAAAGTTTCATTCGAATCGGAAGACATCGCTATTGCACTCGCATTGATTTTCAAGCTGGGTCCAAGTCGACCCAAACATCAGTTAATGGTGAACATCACAGTCGTTTCGGATGTTATTCAGTCAGTATCTGTGGCATAATCCTTGGATTAAAGCTGGTTTGACTTCCATATGAAACTGCCCTCTTACATTCCAGGCCCTTTTACACTTGTTCTGCCGGCGGTTTGAAGTGTCTGAAGGTGCACAATTTGTTCCTGGAAAGACAACTCACGTTGTCATGAGGTCAGAGGCAGGTGAGATGAACTGTTTAAAGTGTCTTTTCTTCCGTTTTTGATACAAACGGTGGATGGAAGTTGACACTAAAATGGTTGTAGAGGGGTCTATCGTTCACCGAAGTTGTTTCCCTAAGCAGGCGCAATTCAGCCTCAAAACTTGTACCTTCTCATGTGACATGACACCTTGACTAACCCTCTATAAATGTTTTTGTTCTGTTTAAGGTTTCCCGCACCAAATCTAGTCTTAGATCCGCATCCCAGTTTTCATTTCTGTTAGTCAAACGAATGCTTTGCGCGATGTATGAAGCAGCTTCACCTTGCAACTTCTAACTTGCTAGTGGTAGACTAAGTAGTCATCATCATCATCGACAGGATGACATCAGTGTTCAACACCGATGCTTCTGACTGAGTAGGATAGCCATTTAACCAGCATGATGATTGATCAGTTCTGCTAACGCCTATTTGCGGATTGCTTCTTGTAGGGTCGTCTCTGCCGATCTTAAAAACCCACGATGAAGCAGTTAAGCCGCAGTATCTACTGATGGTCTATTGCCTCTGAGATTATTATGATTATGGATTGCTTACCAGCCCGCAAGCCCTACTGTGATTAACCATCAGCCACATGTTGGTAGAATCAAGTGCGACGCGGACGTTCGCTTTCATAACCTACTGTAAACTATCTACCGGCTGTCCCGAAGCATCCGGAGCATGTGTTAACATGATAACAACAGATGGGGAGGAATGCGAAAAACACATGACGAAAGGGAATACCGTTATGGCTACCGGGGGGACTAGTTTGGAATTCGCTCCGGGCCAAAGAAAGCAGCCGAAGGAGCACGCACCCTGTCGGTGGCATTCAAGCTTTCTTAGTTGACTACACTTCAAAGGCGCTTTTCAAAAAGTATGTCAACGGATGGTAGGTGGGCCTTAGAGTGAACATGTTTGGATAAGAACTTAACTGTGAAAATTTCTTGCTCATTGGTGTGTTAATTCAAATGAGGTGTGGACTATATTAGAGAATATATTCCCTTTGTTTTACCGTCTATTCAATGATTGACTCTGGTTCACATTGCAGCTCACTCAGTGCCTCTGGCTAGAATGAACGTTTTAGAAACGGCTGCACGCGGTACAATGCAAGTGCTTTATGTCGCGGAGGAAGACATCTGCGCACAGGTTTAAGGGGGGATAAGTAGACAAGCCTAGGTAGACACCGAAGCTAAGTTTCAGTCAACTTCCTCCATACTAATACGTCACCTTCGACTTTGGGTTCGAATTTACAATATCTCCTTTGTAACCAGTGCGATAGAATCTTTTCACTTGGAACTTCCGTTATCAGTAGGATGGCTGATTTTCTACATTACGTCTTTTTCATCTCATCCGCACTTTGTCCTCTGCCTATCTATTGCTGCTGAATCCAATCAGATCGACCACGTGTTGTCAAACGCACTTTAAAATACTTTATGGCTATCCTTAATCGAGCGTGGATTGTCAACACGGACTGGATACGACAGTGCTTAGCCGCCAACAGAATACTGGATGAGGTATGTTTACCTTTGGTTTGTATTTTCCTGAAGGCTTGCTCATTATCACGCTAGCATCAAGCGACCGCATAAACCTCTTTTTTCAGAGCACAGTTTTTACGTGCTCCATGGACTGGTGACTCTCGAAACATATCCATACTTGAATCTGGTTTACAATTTAAACCGAGTTCTGTCGTCCGACTGTTGTTACTTTGGATGTTTTTTTTATATTTAAGACACCATTTGAAATCGAAGGAGATACGGTCTGTGGTGACTGTCATGAAGGTCCTCGTCGAGGACGTTTGAATGTTCCGGCCCAGCCACAACCACTTGATTTGGATGGTTCTAACAATGGGCCATTCGCCGGACTGTGGCTATGTGCCTACGAGAGCCTTGGTCTTCTGTCGTTGGCAGATTTCAAAAGATTGGCAACGGATGGCGGGGCAACCCGTGTATTTGACAAACCGATTGACCTAGCCGCGGCCGTGAATCAGTATGTAAACGCCCAGTTAGCCCGTCCATCTAGGCCCCGGGCTATTATCCTAACTAGCCATGATGCTCAAGGATTCACCCTTTCAAAATGCCAAGGTATGTCCATTCCATGGAATTTTCATCTTGTGCTCAATTTGACCATCTTGTGAAATTATTTGTTCTTCGTCAGTACTGTGGTTACCCTCGGCCCATGCTAGTTTTACAGGAGCAGATGGTGGAGAGATTATAAGCACTCCATTCATCATCTGATCAGACGAAATGTTCATATAATTACTAGACTAAGCTTTAGCTGACCTGTTGCAAGGTCCCTTAGCATGGTTACCGAATCGGGGGATACTTTTGGGCCTGTCTACTGGTGCTCAAGCGGTATCTCGAGAATGGGTACCTTTAACTGGCTTTAACTCACTGACCGTGGTGTCATTAACATTGATGCCGCTTTATACTCCACACGAGACCCATTAATGGATGGAAAACCTTTGGAGGTTATTCCATATTTGCAATGTTTTTACGACTTTCTGAAGCTCTGGTACCTGAGGTTTCGCAAGCTGTCCGTTACCCGCTTCTGATCAGTGCAGGTACAGAATAAATACGAACATACGATCAGTAATATCAAACCGTAGGAAGTTGAGGGCTGTAGGGGACAGTTATATTGGTCACAGATGATTTCTCTGTGGCAACCGAAGTCATTGCCCAGTAGGTTGCATGAGCGTACAGAACAAACAAAACTGTATACAAAGAGAGTACGGGAGGGAAAAGGTCCGCAAAGTCCATCAAACTATTGGGGAGAAACAAGTAAACAATTACAAATGGGCATAAACACATCTAACGCACAAGTGTTACAAACAAAAAAGGCCAGCGGAAGGGTACCGCGCTCTCAGTCACAACAGCAACAAAACGGCAGTGACCAGACATACGTAATGTCTCTGTCCATCTGCGTGAGACGTAAGCCATCAGTTATGGCTTTTGATTCCTGTGAAGAATCATCAAACGCTACGGTTATGCTTCTTCCTTTAAGTGAAGAAATGTTAATTTCGGGGTTTTGATATTTGCTGCTTTCGTATTTATTTATTACGATCTTAGCTGAAAATCTTCTCTGGATAGGTGCTTCTTTGTGCTTGTGTGTTGTATGTGTATCACAAAAACTTTACTGACTTGCATTTTTCCAGAGGTCTACCGCATCCATGGATTCCCCATAATCAGTGTTGATTGGATGCTGAATTGCATCTCATTGTTCCGACGTATCCCAATCAGTCAAACCTATCGAATCTGTCCGGCACCAGGCGAACAGCCAGCAGTTCCACTGAGTACCAGGAATCGTCCCCAGTAACAGATGCTGTTAACTTTTGATCGCTTGGTTTCCCACGGTAACGATTTTCTCTCTCCTCTACTAAACAATCTAATCATTTTGTACAGTTCATGCATGTGCCCTTCTGTTTCTCTCTCCAAACCCATTCTTACTTCCGACCAGATCCTCTTAAATCACCTCCCAGATTCTCGTATGAATTTGATTTTGACCCATTAAATCACCTCTTCTGAGTGTCTTACGTCGTTATTGGTTCAACAGCACCAACTACATGCAGTAATGTTTGGTATCTTACTGCAGGGTATTTTTGCGTGGGCGAATTGACTGAATCCTCCTTCACTTCAAGAGAGTTTTCCCCCGCCAAAGCGTGGTGGATCTAAGCTCATCAGAATTCCAAGTTTTTTTTCCTGATAATCACTTGAAGAAAAGCAGAAGGCCTCAACCTTCGTTCTATTTGTGCATTCAGGTACCGTCAATCCTAGAGACCTCGAATTTGTTTTTTCTGATTACTTCGGTAAACTTGCTCATTCTCCAGAAAGCATTAGGGAATCCCCAATAATAATCCTAATAAGGTGAAGGCACTTGGTCGCTTCATCTGCATCTTGTTGTAGAAGTTGATGTAGTGCGTGTAATGCCGTTACAGTCACTCGTTATTTCTGTGGCTCTTTCCGATTTCAGTTTAAAATCTTCAAATTTTGGGTTAGTTTACCCAGCCTTATTTAGTTGCTGAATAGCTGTGTACTGTCGGGGTCAAAAGGGAGAACCGATAGAAGTAACATGAGTATGCGCAACGTCAATGTGGTTGAAAAAATGTAAATCAATATCTTCCCTTGAGTTATGCACAGGGACGGATGTGTTTTGTGGAGTGGGCTGAAAAGTCACGTGTGTATGTCTTACTGATTGTGAATGATTTTTAGCAGCGAGATTTATTTTCGCGCTTAGCCAGGTCAGATGATCTATGACCGGATTTTATTCTGCGTGTTTTCATCCCACAAGGAGGGTTGCGCCAGTTTTTGTAACCTCCAAGCAGTTTGTGCGCGGACTGTGTGTTGTGAGAATCGTAGCGCTTGACAAAGACAAATAGAAGGAATTCATGGTTGCGTGTCGGCTCCCAAAAGTTGGATAGTTTTCATGAATGATAACGGGTTCTACCACAAGCACATGGTGTTCAATCAGTTGAAAAACGGTTGGAACCGGTTGAGTAGTCATCGTTTTTTGGAGGAGTTTGGTGTCAGTTGGCGAATCTTTTGCCGGGCAACGTTTCGCTTCGTTAGACCAGGTGACCAGGTTACGAGGCTGGTCTAGATTTAAGGAGGGAGGAGAACCAATGAGCTAAGCCTGTGTTAGGTGTCGGCCAAGGGATTTTGTGTGTTAGCGTGGGTCACCAGGTTTTAGACCGATGGGGAAACCTACATGGATTCGGGTACAGCTTAGGGTCGAGTACTTCCGGTTCGGTCCACGTGATGATCCCCCTAGGACGTCGTTCGCACTTTTCGTCGGCCCATGTGGATGAACTAGTGCTACGAGACACGTATGCTGAGCTGGCCGAATGAGTGCAGAGCACAGTCTAATTATGTGAATCATCCTAATATGTGCCTAGGGATCTGTTGACTACGAATGGCTGGAAACGTGAAGAGCACCCTGCTTTTCCCTCTCTACTAAGGGTGGTTTCCGAACAGGTCTTATCAGAAAACCAAACCAGAATTCTAAATGCGACTCCAATCAGCTTTCAAAGGCAGTGAGAAGTGGGAGACAAGCCCACTCAGAGACACTGTCCATGCTCATTCTCCTCAATGCATCGGAAATTCTGCGCATACGCCTGACTATTTTCCTATCCCATATGACTGGCCAATAATTCTGTTTTGGGATAACAGGATTTCGTGGATTACACACGGTGTGCCAGCAGACTCTAAGGAATCCGAATCGGGTCGAGATGAGACTACAGGTTGCCTAGTTCAACTACGTCACACCAGGTAATCAGAGGCAACTCTTTATGGCGCAACAGATGTAAAGTTATGAATACAACAACTCCATTAAATAGGCTGGAACAAACATTCCCTTCAACTCATATATGGCGTGTATAAAATTGCGGTTGGTGACCACCGAGCCTAATTAGTCGGAACTGTCACCCTGGTCCTGCGCGGCCCAGTCACTGACATCCACTTCATGAGTTACGATTGGTGCAAAATAAACAACGAACTGATTTTCCGGGCTATGCTCGATAAACAAATCCCGCTGTCTGTAAGGTGCCCAACGAGGTTTTTTGATAGTTGGGAATATTCGCTTGACCTATTTTCTGAACTCTAACTGAACCTGGCCCGCGATCTGAATTTTTCGAGTTTTGTAAACTCAAGTAATTTCCGAGAGATTAAAGCTCACTTGAGTAATACGGGAGATTGACCCGTTACCCTGGAATCTTTGGCGTTGTTTTTTATGGCCACTCTGCAAGCTGCGGTGGCGAACTATGCCACTTGAGAGTCAGACTCAGGATTTTATGTCCTGTACATGTGTAAATGACTTGGTTTTGTTGATAGGTCTGCAAGACACTACTTCTGCTGACAGGCTGTACCCGTTTCATCCTGAGTGGCTGCTACCTCTGTAGTCATCAGGTTCATTCTAGCCCTAGAGGCCCTGAAGTGTTTGCGTTCATCAGAAGTAACGATAATAGGGCGTCCGCTCTCTTTTTGACGACGATTCGGAGCACACCTCTGTACCACCATGAGGACGCATAAACTTATTTTGAGTGACATGGGTAAAGTAGATTCGGATGTATCCGGCACGCATTCTTATTACACAGGGACCAAGTCCTTTACGCCGGTTATGGCAAGAACGTTGAAGCGTTCTGCGAACCGACATCAGGGCCCTCAAAATATCCGTAAACAGTGTGGCTTCCTCCAGAACCAACTCATGTTTTTGAACGCCAACAAATTTTATTACGCTGTCGCTGGTTATTCGAATCCTTTGGGTGACGTGACATTTAGTCGACTTGATATATCCATCCTTACAGCGTCATCTGCCCCTAGCAGACAGATTTTGAAATTACGTACCAGCCAAACTACTGCAAATCTCAATCGTATATCCGAGTATCGACCTCTAGAAGCGTGAAAACTGGGCCACAGCACTCCTAGGAGGCGCTGGTCGAGCTTTAATTTGGTGACATTTCAACCAACGACAAACTTATGGCAAATCCGATGGTAATTATGGACCTCCGTGTTCTTGAAAGCACGCCAACGCAATAGGCCGTGGCTCCAGATTGCAGCTTCTACTCAACCGACGGACCCCCAATGGCCAACGACAATGATGTTTGATGGAAAGCAAGCCTCGCGTAAACACAGCGTCCAAAGTCTGAAATTATCGTCGATCATTCCTTTGGCAGACGACAAAGTGAAGAGGTTAACTACACACCTAGTTCACAAGTTCTAAGCTGAATTTCGCTAGCCGAAGTGAGACAAGTCCACAAGTCACAAGCGTTGACATGGGTTTCGGTGACTGCTGTGAGAGCCCGGTAACCATTGGATATGCGAATCTGCAAGTCCCCAACTCCATCCCGTCAATGAAATTGTAGACAGTCGCCACGCAAGACACCGATTGCCGCAGTTATAAACCCGTCAACAATGCGCCGAAGAACCCTTCGTACACCTAGTGGGAGACGCCATCGCAGATGACCTTGGAGTCCACACGAAAACATAAGGAAGGGACTCCGATCAAATAAGACAAGTAAGCTTCGCCCAATGTAAAGGTTGCTGGCCAGATTCAAGGTTCAGTTCCCTGCGCAAACGAGCCTATTCGGAATTGCAACAAAATGAATAGACTTTGGTGACAACATCCAACGCATAGGCGAGACGACGGAGCCTCAAAGGAGCACGTTGCCGGTCAAATCGAGCCAAAAAATCCAGGATGGATGCTCACCCAAACCCCTTAAATGACATGCAGTGGCCCGAAAGATGGTATTGCGCGAGCTCCAAGTGGCAGTCATCAAAATTTTCAAACACGCCTGATGACTACCTTATCCAAAGGCAAAGAACCCGAGTAAACAGGAATCTCAGGAGGCAAAAAATCCTATGCAAACAAAGAGAATTTCTTGAAAACATCAAAGCAGGATGCAGACAAGTATGCTGCAGTGGCCTTGCCGGATCTGGGGACTCAAACTCGGCCTACAGCTAATCAATTTTCTGACCCCTCACGTAGCATATCCCCTATCCCCCCACCTTCGGACGCAGCAGAGATAGAGTTGAAATGCTCGTCAACAGCTTGTCTCTGTCTTTCCAACAAAAATCACGATATTACACAGTCGAGTCTTCTTGACTGCCTTCAAAAATCGCATAACAGCCTGGCTCACACCAGGCTTCCCTAATGCAGGGACCTCGATAGACGGCCACTTGATTTTCCAGGCTGACTCGAAAGGCGGAAGGACTGGTGGGATTGCCTTATACTTACATGTGGCCTTGTCCATCCTGATTATCCTCTCCGACATCACTTCTGAACCCTCTTGTGATAGAGTGTGGGTTCAAATCCAGCTGCGTTGGACCGATTCTCTTCCTCTCGGTGTGATCTACCTTTTCCTCTCGAGTCCACTGGAAGCTGACCAGTTTGTTCTACAAACCGTTGCACAAGTCTCCTCCAGCTACCACTTCATTTATCACTTGCTGCTAGTTGATTTAGTTGCTCCAAAAGCCCTTGACTTCGGCGCGTCTGGTCTGGTGAAGATTTTGCATCGGAGTTGATCAACTTCGTTCAACAGATCGTTCGGGCTCAAAATGTTGTCGCGCCCACCAGATGCAAAGCAGGCGAACAACAACGCCTATTGAGTTTGCTTATCATCAACGAAAGATATTTTGTTGATCGTGTTAACTGAGGCTCCACTGAGACGAGGTGACCAGTGTGCACCGAAATTCAAGTTCATCTTCTGCTGGGCCAACACCCCGAAAACCAAACGTGGAATCGAACGTTCTGCCTTACAAGCTCCTCAGAAATGCGGAGGCTTTCCTGACCAAGTTGAACTGGGACCAGACTCAATGAGGGAG